AGAGAGCCAAGAGACCAAGGGGCCTGGAGGTTAAAGGGTTAAAAAAAAAAGGTAAAAGGAACTGAGTAGCACAAAAGGCTGGATTATATAGGGAAGAGCCACAGTGGGTAGGGCAGCCTAGTCCCTGGGCTGGAGAGTTCAGGGGAGAGAGAGAGGTACACCAGCCACACCCTGAGGGACTAAGGGATGCTGGGAGACCCCGGAGGCATGTTACATAGTTACTTCAATTAGCTCTTCTCCCCAGGTTAGAGACCTAACACCTTTTGCATCTTGTACAGTAACAATGTGTCTATCACTCAAAACCCCACTGCAAACGGTTTTCACTTGACACCATGCTGAGTGCCGCTCACAAACCACCAGGCTTTTTACCGGCTGAGAGCAGCAGTTCTGAGCCCACCACGGAAAGACAAGAGCTGCACGTTTCACTCTTCGGTCGCCTGTCTTCCCTGACCCCAGGAAATCTGACCCCACCTGCTTCTTTCAGGCAGACTCTAGCCCACTTTCCTGCCTATGTCCAGTTCCTGGGCTAGGTTAAGAGAGGCGTGGGGGCTTTAATCCCAGCGCTTGGGAGGCAGAGGCAGTCGGATCTCTGTGAGTTCGAGGATAGTCGAGTGGTCTATATATCGAATTCCATCCAGGTCAGGCAAGGCTATACAGTCAGTGAGACACTATCTGAAACAAAACAAAACAAAACAAAACAAAACAAAACAAAACAAAACAAAACAAAACAAAACACCCCCCCCACACACACACAAGAGGCAGAAATGCCCTCACATCAGAAGGCATCAAAAGTCCTTGAGACACAACAAAATTAGAACCTCAGATTCCCACTTTTTTTCTGTGTGTGCATACTAGGGATCAAACCTAGAACCTAGTACACATGCTAGTCAAATACTCTGTGCCCAAACCTTCCATTTCTTTCTCTTTTTTTTTGGTTTTTCAAGACAGGGTCTCACTGTGTAGCACTAGCTGTTCCATAACTCGCTCTGTAAACCAGGCTGGCCTTGAACTCAGAGATCTGGCATCCTCTGCCTCCCGAGTGCTGGGATTAAAGGACGAGGTGTGCTACCGCCACCCTGGCATTTGATTGATTTTTTTTTTTTTTTTTAAGCATTGGCTTTCCCCCGTGAGGACTCAGTGTTGGCTGGCTCAGTCTCTGGCTCCCACTCAGCCGCTACAGGACTGTGACCAAGGTCGCTCTTCTTACATTACTCTCTGTTTCTTCACCTGTAACCGCAGGGACAACTCTACCCACCTCGCAAGGGGTGCCGAGAAGATTAAATTAAATGATGGATGAAAAAGTACTTTGCGTATTTCAGGTGTTTCGTAGACATTAACTTCTTTTCCTATTCTTTACCCTTTCCTACAGCCAGTAAGTCTAGAAAACACACACACACACACACACACACACACACACACACACACACACACACACACACAAACACCACAGAGTCATATAGAACTGAGGATAAATCTATGCTATGACCCGTTGTGTTATTTCTGAACCTAGGCATTCGGGACACGCTTTAAACTCTGGTAGAGGAAGTCTTTGCAGGGAGACAACAGTCGGATAGCCTCACCCACAGTCTAGCAAACTGAGGTGCTCAGGGGAATTTCAGGCTTGTCTAATAGACGTCTGAAAGATGAATTCTGTATGAGCAGAGGCTGATTGTCATGGGAAGTACCCAAGAAACACTAGGAATAGAGAGGTCAAGATTCCCACCCTGTGAAAAAAACACGAAAGTTGTCAGGATCAAAAGGGTCATTTGTGGCAACCTTAACAACAGCAACAAAAAGCCAATGATGCCAGTGTGCTGGGGCATGCTTTTAATCCCAGCACTTGGGAGGCAGAGGTAGGAGGAGCTCTATGAGTTCAAAGCCAATAGCCAGGTCCAGGCCAGCCAGTGCTCCTTTGTTGAGAGCCTGTCTCAAAAAAAAAAAAAAAATTAAACAAGGGGTTATGAATGGAAATGTTTGTCTTATGGAAATGACCACAAGAGCTTCTGTTAGATCCTAACCTTACAGAGACCACTGCACTTTTGTGGTGCCGGGGATTAAACCCAGGATCTTGTACATGCTCAGCATGCACTCTGAACTACATCCCTAGCACCAGTGTGACATCACACAAAAAACACTTCTACAGAAATATCTCCTCGGTATATGTCTGTTCAGCCTCAGACCCACACCACTGTTATTAATCGTTGTATCCAGAGACTGTTATTTCAAATATCTGATGCAATCCTCTTCATTTGAGTCTTTTAAAACTTCCCCTTGGGCCAGCAAGATGGTGGATAAAGGGACCTGCAAACAAAGCCTGGGGACCTGGGTTCGATCCCCGGGACCTACATGGTGGAAAGAGGATTCTTGCAAATTGTTCTCTGACCTCTCTATATGCATCATGGCACATGCACACACCTTTACATACAAAATAAATAAAAAGCAATTGAAAACCTCTCCCTTGCCTCAACCTGTTTGCATATGTGGATAGATTACCATGGCATATGTATTACCATTTCAATATTCTGCTATTCACAAATACCAGTGCTCTTTGGAGAATCTCTTCCTCCTCTGATCCCCGCCCCCACGTCGAAAAGGATGTAGAGTTTGAGGTGATTTACATGGGCAAGGCCAAAGTGAAGTTTGCGAGCCATGAGGAATCAAGTCTTCAGAATGTTTGCTTAGCCATCTCTATGGAGTCTTTCCGAAGATGCAACCCACAGGTACTTTGTAAGCATCTCTTCCTATTCAGTAGAGCTTTACCTGGGAAAAGGCTATAGGACAGAGAGACAAGCAAACTCATCTCTTCATGAGGAAGCCTGAACAGGTTTTTTTTTTTTAATCGTGTTGAATTTAGCACAGAGGATCAACCCTAACTATTCAAGAGAAACAGCTATTTCAAACGCATTCCATCAACAGGGATTTTAAATTTCTTAAGGACACCTATTTATTTATGTATCTATGTGCTGGGGAGTGTAGGAGAAACAGGTGCATGCCGCAGCAAGCATGCCGAGGTCAGAGGGCAGCTTGCAGGAGTCAGTTCTCTCCTTCCACCACGTGGCTCCCGGAGAGCCAACTCAGGTCGTCAGGTTTGGGGGTAGGCTTGGCAGCGGCTGCACTACCCACTGAACCATTTCACCAGCCCCAGGGTATTTTTAAGTGTAAAATTCTTAGCATGCCTTGACCTTGTTGGGGGAATAGGGTAGAATGAGAAATGAATAAACTATTCCTCTTAAATTTTAACGACATATCTAGTATTATGTCCTCCGGAGGTGTGGGTCAAGGGGGTTATTGTGTGCCTTAGGATTAATAATAACAAAAGTGTTAGAAACCCCGTTTTGATGGCCCCAGATAAACAGAGAGGAATTCTTCTAGCTTTCTGTAAATGGTAGGACTGGATTATATCACCCTGTATGAGCCCTATTCTGCTCATAGGATGAGGACCTTTTAGAAGATGAATTCTTCATGCCCTAGCCTTAGCTCCCAATAATAGACAAATCTACCTCCCACACTAGAGACATTAAAACCCACAGTCACATAATTTTAAGGATTGAGGATTGACAAATATCATATGCTTGTTTGGTTTTCGAGATAGGCTTTTTCTGTGTAGCCCTGGCTGTCCTGGAACTAGCTTTTGTAGACCAGGCTGGCCTTGAACTCACAGAGATCCACCTACCTGCCTCCTGAGTGCTGGGATTACAGGTGTGCACCACCTCCACCTGGCTTTTATTTATATATTTTGAGAAAGAATCACAAGTGGTCTTGAACTCTCTTATGTAGCCTAGGATTATAGGCACACACCACTACACCAGTCCAATATTTCTTAAAGTCTATTTTTAAAGGTTTATTATTATTATTATTATTATTATTATTATTATTATTATTATTATTTTATTGTCTATGGGTATGTACACATAAGTGCTGGTGCCCTTAGAAAGGCAGATGCATCAGATCCTCCTTGGCTTGAGTTACAAGTAGTTGTGAGCCACCCACTATGGGTGCTGAAAATCTAACTCTAGTCCTCTCCGGGAGTAGAACATGCTCATAACTGCTGAGCTGTCTCACTGAGTCAGAAGTTACATCCTCTAAATGAACTGGTAAGGCAAAAGAGGCTTATGGGAGCCAAGGGTGACCAGTGGTCTGGCAGCTGCTTGGCCAGCATACTTTGGGAAGTGAGAGCCCATGGACTGGGGCTCCCATAAAAGAAGCACCCCATAAACATTTGCTTTGCTTCGAATACAGAGTCGCAATCAGATTCCTAACATGGCCAAGTTTCTGGACCAGAACCACACCTAAGGTAAAAAAGAATTGGGGATTGCTGGCCCCCAAAAAGAGGAAAAAATGATTTTAAAAAGATTTAGATACAAGGTGCTTAGATCAGAGTCGTTTTGGAAGCTCACAGTAATATCTACTCTACCCTGCTGGACTTAGCTCTAACCCCCAGAGAGGGAGTTTAGAACAAAGCATTGTTTCCTCTGCCTTGGTTTCAGCTGTGTATAAAGAATGTAAGAACAGCCCAGCCCACACTTCTATACACAAGGGTCCTGCATTCTAGGAAAGCTGGCTGGCCCAGCCAAAATCATCTGCCAAATTCCAAAGACACCTAAACAGCCAGTGCTGCTACCAGAGAAAGACCAGCATTTATATAGGTGAAATGGTGGACTGATACAGGTTGGTGGAGAAACACCATCAACAGATGAATGAAAAAGTCCCTTGTTTGTGACAACCCCCCCCCACACTGATCTTACAATGTCACTGACAGTCACACCCAACTACACTGTCAGTCACACCCAATCACCCAAGCCACCCAGAGTCATAAAGGCTGTGAATCAGAAAACTGCAACTTCTCACATAGAGGGTCAAGGCAGGTATCCTCTAACATACTCAGTCCCATCATGGTGAGATGCCCTCTCTTTGGAACACACACACACACACACACACACACACACACACACACACACACACACACACACACACACACACACACACACCCCTCTACTCACCTGATTGCCAAACACGGCCACGGAGCAAGCTGTTGAGACTTCATCAGCCCCGAACCAGACCGAAGCAATGCGTGAGGGCATGCCCAGGATGAAGACCTGTGCCACAGAGCAAATGACCTGACCCACCACTGTGACCGGGAAGAGGTGAGGCTCCAGGCTGCCTAGCTTCACCCAAGCGCCCAGACAGTTGAGAGCTGAACCAGTGATCGCGATGGTTCGAAGACCAAATTTCTCCAGCATCCAGGCCACGGGCAGGAGCAGAGGGATGTACACCAGCATGTAGCACATGGACAGCCAGTCGATGGCAAAGGCGCTGACGCCGTAGAAGGTCATGAAGATGTTATTGATGGAGCCATACTGGATCCACTGGAAGGCGTTGCACAGGGAATAGCAACTAAACACCAGGACCACGGCCCAACGGCGCTTGCTCACCTTGATCACACTGCTTTGCGGACCTGAGCTACTGGGATGCGTCAAGGCGCTGGGTTGAGCAAAGGTACTAGGGGGCGCTGAACTGCTGGGATGGACAGAGACGCTGGGGTCGATGGAGACGCTGGGATGGATGGAGACGCTGGGGTGGCCTGAGACGCTGGGATGGAAGGAGTCGCTGGGATGGGTGGAGTAGCTGGTGTCGGTCGGGAAGGCGGACTCGGGTGCAGGGTTGTCATCGCTCTTCTCCTGGTTGAGACTTTCATTCACCATGACCACAGCGTGCTCCTGAGCCCAGGACACGGGCTGACTCCTACAGTCTTATGGGCCGGTGGCCTTGTGGCTGTCCCCCTAGAGCTGAGGGTTGTCCAGAAGCGCACCTCTGTTCGCGCAGAGAAACGGAGACTTAGAGGCAGCGCTCACTCCCAAACTCCCCTTGCTGGTCCTTGGGAATCCTTATTTCCACCCCCACACCTCGCAAACTCTTGTCCCCAAGTCAGCCGCAGACTCCTCGCCACGCGCTCCAGGCTGTTCCTGCCTGGAATTCCCAGGTGAAGTGTGGACCGTCCTGGAAAAAGTTTGCTAGCTGAACTGCTGCTGGGCCGGCTCGGTTCGCTCCCGGGCAGGCTGGGGCCTCGCCCCCTCGGGCGCACGTGACCGCCCCGCCCCCGGCCTGCCCGGCTCCCCACGCCCCGCAACCCCTCCCACCCAGGCTCCCCTGACTTCTTAAGCAGGGCCCCGCAGGACACCGCGCTTGTTTCGCCATAGCTTGGGGTGCATTCCTCCATCACGTCCCGGGCGCCATGGAAACCGCCCGGTCAGCCCCCACCCCCTACACTGCCCCTAAATTCATTTGTCCCCCCAACTCCCAGAGGACTCCGCTGGACGATCCCGCCTGTCCTTCCGAGGTTAGAGTCTTCTCGGGGCCAGCGCGCGTGCCCAGAGGCCCGGGGTCCGCAAAGTGCTCGGGTGGTGGTGGTGGTGGTGGGGATCCGAGACGGATCCAGGACTTTCTTCCTCTTGCCTGGGCTCCCCTCCTGGAGCTGACCTCTCCGGGTGACAGACAGTTCGGCGTCCCTTGTGGAAAGCTTGCTTTTCTCGCGGCCCTCCTTGTATACAAGGTCTTTTCTTGGTGGAACTCGTACACGAACTTGAAGGGCTGTTTGGTCTCTGACGAGTCCCTGAGGCCTCCCACGAGGGAACCCCGGGAGCCGGGCACAGCCTAGAGTAGAAGCTGTCGGAAGTGCGGCTGGCTGCGCTAGCTCTGGGCATGGTGCTAAGCGGTTCTGGCCGCCCGGTAGCACTGGGCTGCCATCTGCCGATCCCCTGAGAGTTACCTCTTCGCAGCCTAGCGGTGGCTTGAGCCAGTCCCACGGACCATAGTGATAAAGGCTGGAGAGATGGCTCAGAGGTTAAGAGCATTGGCCGCTCTTCCAGAAGACCCCCGATTCAATTCCCAGCACCCACATGGTAGCTCACAACTGTCTGTAACTCCAGTTCCAGGGGATCTGACAACCCTCACTCAGACACGCATGCAGACAAAACACCAATGAACATAAAGTTTAAAAAAAAAGAAAAAGAAAGAAGCCCAAAATTTTAGATTAGCAATTTAGGTGTGGAACTATAGGTCACTCACTGCACACCACCTCTGTGCCCCAGTTTCATCTCCACAATGTGGATGGTGAAATAATAGCCCTTAGGAAAATCCCTGGCTGATAATTAATTCCACAAATGTTGGCTATCCTGCACTGGGGCTTAGTGCATTACTTCATGTGTGAGCACCCTCGGGAACTCTCTGATGTGCTCACTATCGCTCATGTTAGTGCATTACTTCATGTGTGAGCCCCCCCCCCCCCCGGAACTCTATGATGTGCTCACTATCGCTGGAGTCTGTATGTGTGTATATATATTGTATGTGCGCATGCACACCAGGCTTTGAAATCACCAAGCTAAGCCCTCAGTCCTCCTGCCTCCTTTTATAGACAAGAAAACAGAGCCTCTTAGCAGTGAGTTAATTTTTTCAGGTCCCAGCTGGCCTGAACAGCCAGACTTCTCATCATTCAAGCTACCATACAGCTGGGCAGTCTGGACAGTAGCCTGGACGGCTCCTGGGAACCTGGTGGGGGTTCATTTGAGGCAGGGTTGCTCAATGTAGCCCAAGGTGGCCTTGAACTCCAGGTCCTCTTGCCCTACAAATGCTGGGATTACAGGTATAATCTGGCCTGGCCCCTGAGAGCTTGTTAGAAGGGAAGATCCCAGATTCCCAGGCTCACCCCATACTTCTTGTATTCGATGCTACATTTTAACAAAATCTCCAGATGATTGCCACTGGGTGTTACTGCTTCCCTGTCCTTCCTACCCCCTCTTTTTAAAGTTCTGGGGTGATGTTTACAACTTGAGTTGCATATTAGAACCAAAAATGGGGGTGGTGGTGAAGAGAGATGGCTCAGGGTTTAAGAGGGCTTGCTACTTTCTCAGAGGACCTGGGTTCAGTTCCCAGCAACCACATTGAGTGGCTCACAACCATCTGCAGCTCCAGCTCCATGGAATCCCATACCCTCTTCCAGCCTCAGGCACCAGCACACACGTGAGCACATACACAAAACATAAATGTAAATAATAATAATAATAATAATAATAATAATAATAATAATAATAATAAGCTTTTAAAAATAGAATCAACAGCAATGTGTGGTGTTGTAGGGTATCCACCAGAGAAGACTGCTGGAATATGGGTTTTAAGCCAATAGAAAGTTTTTATTTGCCAGCTGGAGACTACACTGGGTGTTCAGGGTCCCAGTGTAGCATTGAGCCTTTCTCAGTGTGAACTTTTAAGCGCAAACACACACAAAAACAAAAAACAAAACCAAACGTTTTCTGGGATGACACACCTCAGTCAGCAAGAACAGTTAGCCAGAAGCAGAACCACAGAAGCCAAAAAGCAAGGCTGTTCCTTTAGAGGCCTCCCCAGAACTATGGACTTCGATGGATTAGGTCTGTCTTTGTCTTCATTTTGGCAGGTGGAACTGTCTACATGCTGAATTTTATGGCCTGAGTGGCATTTCCCTTATGGAGTCAGTTGTGCTAAGGTTTGGGGGCCTCTTCTGGGTGGGAGATCCTTCACATTCATTTGCCCCTGTCAAATGAGCACAATGTCCAGGCTGACCCCCAAATCAGTCATCTGAGGATAGGTGGGAACCACTTAAGGCCTAATCCTAACACATAGCTAAATTTAAATGCCCCCAGGGGAGACTTAGTACTGGATTCTGGCAGAGAAGACCAGGTTTGCGGCTTCTACTGGGTGAATAGAATGCTTCCTGGAAGCACACAATTTTCTTTTTTTGAGGGGGTTACAAAGTATGGAGGCTCTCATTGTATTATGGGATATTTGTAGAGAGAACTCATACCCATTGAAGAGTTTCCATACTCATTTAGTATTCCATGCTCTTCCAGTTCCTCCAGTGGTCTTCTCCTCCCCCAGGGAGCACAGAACATTTGCTTAAAAACCTTCTGCACTTTCCTTAGGTGATCAGGGCCCCTTCCCAAATTTCAGATTACATTTCTTTTTGAGACAGGGTCTTATGTAACCCACATTGGCCTCCAACTCTTTATGCCTCCCGCCTTTCACCTCTCAAGTGCTGGGGTTGCAAGTGTGGACCACCAGATCTGGTTTATTCAGTGCTGGGAATCAAACCCAGGGCCTGTGCATGCTAAGCAAGAACTGTACAAACTGAGCCACATTGCCAGCCCTTCCAGTATATTCTCCATTTGACAGATAAGGAAACTGAGGCGGTGTGTGTGTGTGTGTGTGTGTGTGTGTGTGTGTGTGTGTGTGTGTGTGTGACTTGTTCTTTAGGTCTCCGTGTTAATCAGCATCAGAATAAACAACTGTGAGGTAGAGTCCTGTTCCCAGGTGGCTCTTTCACGCACTCAAGAGCAGTGCTGTAGTCTAGACCCAATCCCAGGCTCGAACCTGAGATTCAAGCAAGATTTGAGCTTGTTTGTGTTGTGGAGCGGGCCAGGTTTGTTGTGAGCTCTGGACTGAGTCTACTTAGGTTAGAAGTACTGTTCTTTGGGATCTCGGTGGAGGAACTCAATTTCTCTGCCCCTGTCAAATGACCACAATCACTCCTGATTCAGTCAGGCATGGTAGTGCACACCTTTGATTCCAGCACTCGGGAGACAGAGGTAAGCGGATCTCCAAGAGTTTGAGACCAGCCTGGTCTATGTAGTGACTTCCAGGACAACCAGGGTTTACATAGAGAAATTCTGTCTCAAAAACAAAACAAACAAAAAACATATCCCTCCCAACTTTTGGAATCATAGTGTTGATGGCAGTTCTGATAATGTACATAAATTGCTTTCAATGGTTTAAAAAAAATGCAATTCAGGCAGTCACTAGAGGAGTGTGTTTTCCTGGTTGACTTCCACCAGGGGGCAGACAGTGCTGTAAAAATTAGATGTTAAGTAGAGATGTTCTTTATTCATCCATCATAAAGACATGTATTGAGTAGTACCCTGTATGTTCTCTTTTCTTTCTTTCTTTTTTTCCCCTAGACAGGGTTTCTCTGTGTAATCCTGGCCCTCCTGGAGCTCGCTCTGTAGATCAGGCTGGCCTAGAACTCAGACACCCTGCCTGCCTCTGCCTCCTGAGTGCTGTGATTAGAGGCTTGCGCCACCACACCCAGCCCTATATGTTCTCTCTACTTATGTGTCCTATCTCCAGGTGTCTGCAGGCACACCTTGAAGGAAATGGGCCTACACATCTTAAAGATTTCTTTCTGATAAAGGGCTCTGGTTTGGGGTTGAGCCCAGTCCCCAGGAATGAAGGAACGCCTTCAACGGTGAACTCCAGCTTTTTTACCCCCAGAAGGATAATAGCAAAGTTTGCCCACTGGTGATGAAGAGCATCCTGACACAGAAAGCAAAAAAAACTGGAAAATGTCAGCCACCCTCCTCTTAAACAAGAGCTGCAGGGTATGGGAGGCATGGAGTTCGCTGGGAGCATGGGGAGACTTTATTTCCAACCAAACGAATTAGACTGAGGCCCCAGAATTTTTCCCAGTGCTAGGAATTTGTAATGCTGATCTTGAATCATTGATGAGGAACTTAGATGTATATAACACTGCCTGCTCAACCAATATTCTGTTTGCCTGACTTCTCTCCCCACACTTCTCACCAACTCCAGCTAAGACCTTGTGTCTGTCTTTGTCTAACTCTGGAACACTTAGTGAGAGAAACTTTATTGCGCATGTCCTCAATCCGAGTCTGTAGACTCAGCATGGGATTTCAGAAAACTGGAGACAGAGAGATCTAACCTATCCGAGAGACTGGAGGTGGGGAGGCCCAGTGGTTTCTTAAGAACTATTCAAAAGGCAGGTCTGGGGCTGGAGAGACGGTTAGTAGTCAACAAGAACACACACTGCTCTTTCACTGGACCCACAATGTTTCCCAGCGTTACTCAGATTGAGCAACAACTCACAACCCTCCAGCTCCAGGGGATCTGACGCTCTCTTCTGGCCTCCGTGGACAACCAACACACAAGTGGCCCACAGACGTGCATACAGGCAAAACACTCAGACATAAATGAATAAAAAAAATAAATACATAAAAATTAACATAAGACGAAAATTAAAAAAAAGAATTTTGGTTGGTGTAAATTAAGGAAGTAGGCACATGCGTGTAACTGAGGTGAGCGTGGGACACCGAGTTAAACTGCTGTCTATGTAACACAGAAAAGATCAGCAAGTATCACTCTACCCATGTGGTTTAGAGCTTGCTGGGAAATACCCAAAGAATCATCTGGGGTTAGAGTAATCGCTGCAGGAGAGCCAGAAAGGACAGCTAAGCAACTGAGGGTTTTGAGAGGAGTAGTTGGTTCCCTCAACTACGTAGAACTTTCATTAAA